TTATAAAAATCTAAAAAAACGAATACATAAAGATTTCCATGGATTTACGATTCGTAAAAGGCTTAAGAATTTTGTTGTTTTCTATAAGACCTTGTAATATTATATGCAAAATTACAATCATTCACGAGTCAGAAATTTAATTAGGTAAAATTTGTGTATTTTTCTATTGGACTTTACAACAAACTATACGAAAATAAAAACATAAGTATTTTGACTTCTGCGAATTAAGAAGTTATTAATAATAGATAAATTTTGGAAGATTTGTGTAAAAACTTGTAACATTTAACTAAAAATTACACATTTTAATTAGCCATAATTGTAATAAATTTTTGAGTTGTACAAACAAATCGGTATTTGTTACTATTAATACAAAATTGTAGTATTTTATGAGAAACTAAAAACTGGATTAGATTTTCTAATTTGTATAGTTTTACGATATGTAAATTGTGGTATATTTCTATAGGCATTTATAAATAATTGTAGTATTCTACAAGTAAGCAGATGTTTTAATTTTTTAAAATTTTATGTTTCTTCTTAAATTTTTAAAATTAGATCTTTGTACTATTTTTTTATAAAATTGTAGTTTTTCATAAAATACTACTTACAATAATTTCTTAATTTGAGAACATTGTAATTTGTGGTATTATTTTGTAGATATTTCTACAAAAAAATAACTATTTCTACAAAAAATTAAATATTTCAACAAAAATGTACCTATTTCTAGTTAAATTTTGGGGGGGATTCCGTTTGCCTACAATCCCAATTGCCAACAGCTTCGTTTGCCGACAACATTTTGCCTACAGCTTCGATTGCCGACATTCCCGATTGCCTACAGAGCGATTGCCTACAAGCATTATTGCGCACATGTAATAGTTAAAAATACGAACGTACGTTTGCGCACATGGCCAAACACATTGCACACATGACATTATTGCGCACATACACATTGCACACATAATATTATTATATCACATGTGCGTCGAAAATGGCGCATTTCTTGCGCGCCATCTGTACACGAAATAACCAATTGCACACACGAGAAATTTCTCACTATATTTACGCACGGGTGCGGGAAATCTCACTAGAAAAGTACTTCCCACACGACGCATTGCCAACACTCTCCTTACTTTTCTCAATCCGACGCTAGCCACGCTATTGGACGGAGATTTTCATCCAATAGCGTGGCTAGCATCGCCACATCTCCGTCCAATAGCGTGGCTAGTATCGCCACACTCGCATGTTCTTAACGACATCTCGCGGCACACTACGCGAAACACTACGCGTGTTTCCGTGCGCTGCGAGATGTCGTACGCAAATTACCATCACAGCGATACTCAGACATAACCTTCCTAAATAACTGAAACGTACATATTAAAGTCATTGTGAACATACACAGTAAAATAACAAAAAATAAAAAAAAATTCGCAACAAGTTACTTAAAAAACATCAAAAATGAGTGACAACATCATACCAGAAACACCAGAAACCGAGACCGAGAGCCAACTAACACCTCAAGAGATAGCACAAGTTGCAAGAAACACAATAGAAAATTTCTTACCTTCAAAATCCAAAGTAAAATATACAAATGCATATAACAATTTTATAAAGTGGACAATTACTAAAAAAACGAAATCATTCTCGGAAAACACAATATTAGCATATCTCACAGAATTATCAAAAACACATAAGCCATCCACCTTATGGGCAACTTACTCAATGCTTAAAACGACTCTAAATATTAACAACAATGTTAACATTAATAAATATGATAAACTCATTCCATTCCTGAAGAGACAGTCACAAGGATTTACATCAAAAAAATCAAAAGTATTAACATCAGAACAAATTCAAAAATTTCTCAACAAAGCTGATGACCAAAAATATTTACTTACAAAGGTAATGTATCAAATACAAACATAAACTTTTACATTAATAAAAAATTTTATACAATGTGTACATATATACTAAATTATTTACAGGTAGTTATGATATTTGGAATTTGTGGTGTATGCAGAAGAGAGGAACTCGTCAATATAAAAATTAATGACATCGAAGACAAAGAAACTATCTTGCTCGTTAAAATTCCAATTACAAAAACTTACAAACTAAGATCTTTCATAATCAACGATGAATTCTACACTATATCTAAAAAATATATAAATTTGAGACCAAAAAACGTCCAAAGATTTTTTCTAAATTATCAAGATGGAAAGTGCACCATTCAACCAGTTGGAATCAACAAAATCGGAAAGATTCCATCAATTATCGCATCATATCTACAATTAGAAAATCCTGATTCTTATACTGGCCACACCTTTCGTCGCACTTCTGCCACGCTGCTAGCAGACTCTGGAGCGGACATAACAACATTAAAACGACACGGTGGCTGGAAATCCAATACAGTTGCTGAAGGATACATTGAGGACTCCATAAATAACACAAAAAAATATACAAACAAATTACACAAACAATTAATCCACATCCAACAACATCCAAAAATCCCATACAAAATAAAGAAAACTCAATAAATATTAACACTACAAATACAAATACAAATAAACATTACAGTCTCAATGAAATATTAAATACAACCAACACAAAAAATCCAATTATATTGATGAACTGTACAATCAACATAACACACAACTCTTCAAACTTACCCGCTTAAAAAAAATTAATTTTTTACTTTCTTGTATTTTATATTTTATATTATATATTATATTTTATTTTTATACCCATCCAAAGTTTTCAATTTTACACTATACTGTATAATAAATAACTACTCATCTATTTGCTCCTGTAATAAACGTTGCTTTTATCATAGGCGGGGAAAGGCTTGCGAAAGCAAGGGGGGTGTGGGTGAACCTCGGTTTGCGTGAAAAGTGTATGCGTGAACTATTTCGACATATATATTAGTCATTTATGCCTTCCAATACTCAAAATAGCTGCTATATTTTTCAAACTTTTTTTGTTTATAACTTTTTAATAAGCAGCGACCGCCGACTAAGTTATAAGGAAAAGTTACTCAGTATTATGTCCTTGACAACATATGTCAAGGTCAAAGTAATCCGAGCTGTGTAAGTTATTGTAAACTTTTACCAATAAGAAAATCATATTAGCACATTGCACATATAACGTATTGCGCACATACACTTTGCACACATAACATTATTGCGCATATACACTTTGCACACATGACATTATTGCGCAAATACACATTGCACACATAATATTATTGCGCACATAAAATAAGAAAATTATATTAGCACATTGCACACATAACGTATTGCACACATACACTTTGCACACATAACATTATTGCGCACATACACTTTGCACACATGACATTATTGCGCACATAAAATAAGAAAATCATATTAGCACATTGCACATATAACGTATTGCGCACATACACTTTGCACACATAACATTATTGCGCATATACACTTTGCACACATGACATTATTGCGCACATATACATTGCACACATAATATTATTGCGCACATAAAATAAGAAAATCATATTAGCACATTGACACTGGTATATATTTATTTTTATATAAGTGAGTTACATGAAGGTATATAATAAAATTTTTGTATTATTCTTTGGTAATGTCGTTCTCTTCTAATGCTTTTCATTTTTCTTCCTGATTATGTCTAAAACATTAATAGAAAACTTAAAATTATAAATTTGATTTTAAATCATATCAATAATTTTATTATATTCTAATTTAAGATGTTTTACATTTTTTGTCAAAGTGTAATAAAAAATTATAATTAAATTCTAAAAATTTTATAAAAAAATATTCAGATAATATACAGAATTTTTCAGCACATTAAACAGAAAAAGTAACATCCATTTGTTCAGGCTTAGTATCGACAGACCAATTAAGTATAATCTAATTTAATATCAAATCAAATAATCTGATTAATCTGTAAGCAATCATGACGTTTCTAACAAAGAAAATATTATACATACTTGTCTCTTTGAACTCTTACAGTAGCTTGAGAAAGCCATTTTGATGTGTATGCTGCAATGTCATTGTCTGTCAGTTCATTATATTTTACACGAACAGCTTCTGTACACACATACACAATTACGCACATACTGTACGCACATACACAAGTGTTTTTTAATATAAATTGTAAATATTTTTTGATAAAGATATATGTGTATGTTTTAGAAAAATCTTAAAGGTATTTCTAAATGGACCCTACATAAACCAACCACGTTAATCTAAAATTATATTAAAAAGATCTTACGTGTATTATCATTTTAGAAAAATTTAAATCTTTAAAGCTACGCTTATTTATTTTTCCTGTCCAGCTAAAATTTTGATGGGCTAAAGTATTACTTTTTTCATAATATTTTGTATCATGGCATGTGCATCAACTCCACCAACAAGTTTAGAAACGTTAAGCTAAAAGAAATAAACAATGTTAAAAATAATATTAAATTAATACAGATTTTGTATAATAATTAATGACTTTTAAATACGTAAATAAATTTAGCTTTCTTTATTTTAACAATATGTAACAGAAATATGTCATTCATGAATTAATGATAAGAAATGTAATCAAGGATTACATTACACTGTTATATTATTATATAGAAAAAGCATTAATTAACATCTATAATAATATAATAAGAATAAAAAATCTTTATCGCATACAACATCCTTGATTTCCTGTAATTGGTCTTCAAAGGATATTAACTTAGTAAGTGTAGAAATCGGGAAATGGATATCGCATTCTTGGCTATCATAATCATGACAGGAAAATTGCATTTCTGTGCAGTCCTCTACCGGTGGTGCAACCTGTTTCTGGGGAGAAAGCTCGTGCGAGGAAGGCACCTAGACGTAGGCCTCTCAAGTCTGCCGCAATTTCCATTACCGGTTCGAGGGAGAGTTTCTCATATGCCGAAGCGCTTAAGAAATCAAGAGAAAATATAGTGTTGACTGACTTGGGAATTGAGTCTTCGAAAATTCGGAGAGCAGTCAATGGAGGTATCATTATCGAGATTCCGGGGCGACGAAGGCGCGAAGAAAGCGGATACCGTCAGAGATAAGTTGCAGGAGATCCTCGGTAATGAGGCGACCATTATCAGGCCAGTTGCCAAAGGGGAGCTTAATATTACAGGTCTCGATGATTCTGTCACGGTCGAGAAGGTTATTGACGTTGTTGCTGGTGTCGGCAATTGTAGGTTAAACAGCGTTAAAGCCGGGTTAATTCGACGCATGACTAATGGTCTGGGTGCTGTGTGGGTGCAGTGTCCCCTGTCCGCTGCGATCGAAATATCTTCCCGCAACAATATTAAGATTGAATGGTCCACAGTTCGAGTGAAACTATTGCAAGCAAAGCCTGTGCAATGTTTCAGGTTTTGGCAATTTGAGCATGTTCGCAACACTTGTCCGTCGGAGGTGGACCGTAGCGGGCACTGTTTTAGGTGCGGCGGTGTAGGGCATTTGGCGCGCGATTGCTTCGCGGATCCTAGGTGCGTTGTGTGTATCGACCAAGGTAAAGCCGGTAACCATCGTCTTGGCTCTGACAAGTGCCAGATGAGCGGGAGTGAGGAAAGGCCGAGTCGACCTACTTGGAGAGACACACCGGCGTGGAGGGCTGGACCTGCAGTTCTTGAACTATGATCCGAGTTCTGCAATGCAATCTAAATAGGAGTTACCGGGCTCAGAATTTGGCAATGCAGAACATATTGGAGTTAAAACCTGGCATGTTAATGCTGTCGGAACCTGCCAGCATTCCGGATAATTGCTTCTGGTACGCCAGTGTAAATAGCGATTTACTGGGCCACTGATAGGCTTTCTCGTTTGTGCGTTCCGCATAGTCGTGGCACCAACTACGCGGCTGTTCTGCTCGGTGATATACTCTTCGTGTCGTAGTATTATATCTCCCCGAACGTGGATAGGGGCCTGTATATAGATTTCTTGGATGAACTCGCCACCGTTGTTACTTCCACAGGGGGCCATGTGGTGATTTGCGGTGACTTCAATGCCCACTCGACCTCTTGGGGATGTCGCTCTACTAAATGGAGAGGTCGAACTCTCGAGACATGGGCTGCGGGATTTGACTTGCGATTGGTCAATTCGGGCAATGTGCCTACGTGCGTGCGTGAACAGGGAGAATCAATCATTGATCTCACCTGGGTATCTCCGGGACTAGTTAAGCGTGTTAGAGACGGGATGGTTTTGAAAGGTTTTGAGATCATCTTGTCCGATCATCAATATATAAACTTTGATATCCGTGGAGTTGGCGCTGTCCCGACTGTTGAAAGACTGGTGCAATCTAGGTGGAACATAAAAAACATGGATATAGAGCTATTCGAGCTGGCCCTTGAATGGAAGTGTTGGGTTGATCCAATTGACATGGGAGCGATTTCGGCCGATAAGAGTAGTAGTTGGGTCCGGCGTGCAATTTGCGTGTGACGCTGCGGTTCTGCGCACCAGTGCTCGGACTAGGAAACAACTTATTTATTGGTGGATTAAGGCTATTGCTGCGTTGAGAGCGATATGTATGTGTAAGAAAAGGGCTCTAACCCGTTCTAAGAGACAAAGATCGAGCTCTTTAGAATATATTAATGGTCTGAAAACCTCCTATAGATTGGCCCGCGACAATCTTTGGAGAGCGATCGAGAAAGCGAAGTCGTCGGCTTGGCAGGAGTTACTAAACAGCATCAAGGATGATCGATGGGGGCTTCCGTATAAACTTGTTCTCAAGCGCTGTCGGAAGTCATCCCCATCGCTCGCCGAAACGTTGGACGATGTGACGTTGGAAAGGCTGTTGGACTCTCTGTTTCCGCCTGGTAAAGAACTTACTGAGGAAGATTGGTCGGGTATCGTTTGGAATGACAAATGGGACTTCACGTGTGATAAAGTGTCGAGCGATCCAAGAGAAGGGTAAGCCTAACACGGCTCCGGGTCCGGACGGTGTTAAAAAACCGCTCTTTGGAGAAAGGTTCCGCCCAGCATGGCTTCTGAGACTGGCGCGGTGTTTCGACACGTGCTTGAAGAGCGGTACCTTCCCGACACTCTGGAAGATCGCTAGACTAGCTTTGATCCCGAAAGCTGGACCTGCTCAGGTTGGACTACTGCCCAGCGTAAGACCGATTTGCCTTTTAGATGATGTGGGCAAGATATTAAAGCGTATTATCGTTGTAGGCTTCTGGAGTGGATGTCGGAGCATCCGGTCGCCGAGTGTTTGGACAACCAGTTAGGCTTCAGAAAGGGACGGTCGACCTCGGATGCGCTCTTGCGTCTAAAGCGGTTTACGGAGAAAGCGCGGGCCGCGGGAAAGATTGTTATGGCCGTTAGTTTGGACATAAAAAATGCGTTCAACTCCATTCCTTGGCCAATGATTAAGAGAGCTCTAAAGAGGAAAGGTTTCCTCGATTACTTGCGTAGAATTATCATGAGTTATTTATCCGGAAGATTTGTGGAGTACTCGGTTAAGGGCGGTGGCTTCCGACGTAGAAGAGTGCGGACAGGGGTCTCTCAGGGTTCCGTGCTTGGCTCGCTGCTGTGGAACATCGCATTCGACTGCATCCTGCGCATCGTCGTGCTATCTGGATGTATGATCATTTGCTACGCGGACGACATGCTTGTAGTAATTAGGGCCAAGGATCGCGATCATCTTATTTACAAGGCCAATCAAATGGTCAAAAAGGTAGTCCGTAGAATTAAGGAACTGAGACTTGAGATCTCGGAGAGTAAGACGGAGGCAGTCTTTGGCCTCCGTTTCAATCGGGCAAACGCGCCGGTGATCCGGGTGGGCCAGTCGGACGTTACGGTTAGCGGCTCCATGAAATACCTTGGGATCATGGTGGACGGAGGTTGGCGCTTCGCTCAACATTTTGAGTATGCCGCGCAGAAGGCTGCCAGAATTATGAGTTTTTTGGGGCGACTTATGCCTAATTTGAGAGGACCGAACGAGAAGAAAAGGCGTTTATATTACAAAGTTATACTCGTCGTGTTATTGTATGGGGCCCCGGTCTGGGCTGAGAAACTTGCAGCGTTGCGCAGGCTACAACGTGCGTATCAGCGTGTACAGCGCACAGCGGTGCTTAGGGTTGTAGCTGCGTATAAAACAGTATCCTGCGATGCGGCCATCCTGCTGGCTGGAGTACCGCCGGTAGACATCCTAGCGGTGGAGCGTAGGAACAGTTATACGCGAATCCGTGAACTGAGGGACCGTGACTTGTTCACCCTTGATGCGGTGCAGCGTATCAGAGGGGAGGAAAGTGTGCGGGCTAGAGAGACTTGGATGGTGCGTCTCCGGGACGAGCACTCGTTTGGTGCCAGAACGAGGGAGGCGATCTCCCCCGATCTGGATGGATCGAAACCACGGTTGTCTTACTTTCCAAATGACGCAGCTCCTTACCGGGCACGGATGCTTTGGAAAGTATTTGCATAGAATTGAGCGGGCGACACGGACAAATGTCCGCATTGTCACCTAGCTATGGACACGCCGGAACACACTGTGCAGGAGTGCCCGGTTGGTGCTGTGGCGAGACAGGAGCTAGTGTCGGTCATCAGTGCTGACCTGACGCTGATTGCAATTGTCCGGGCCATCACAAGATCGGAGGAGGAATGGAGGGCTTTTTCCACCTTTGCTAAACGAGTCATGAGGGTTAAGGAGGAGGAGGAGCGGCGTCGACAGGAATTACGGAGGATAGACGATTAAACGTGCCTTAGAGATGTTAGATCACCAGTGCCTATTGGACAATTAGCCGTCCTACTTGCGTGGGCTTGCGTGCGTGGGCTGCGCGTGTGCTGACCAGCCCGGTTGGGTGCCTCTAATCGGATTGGTCGGGATGACGTCGGGCACAGAGGGAATGCTCGATAATCGAGAGTGCGCCTTGTCGTGTGCGACGGAGGCGATCGGCGGCCCGCCTGGCGGGGTATCCGCGGCGCGGTTCGTGGGAGTCGGCTGACTGGCTGTGGATGTGCGGGTATGGACGGGCGGCGTTGTTTTCGCGTTCGAGCGGGTCGCGTGTGGATTACGTGAGAGGGGCGTTTACGCGTGTGGTTGCTGCGACTCCGGTGTAATGCGAAAGCTGGCTCCCGGGCTCGTGGCTTAAACCTGGGGTAGGTTGCATAGGGAGAGTTTTTAGTGGGTGCGAGCGCCACATAACCCTGGGTAGCCTTTCCCTGGGGGAGGCAGAGTACACTAGACATTTTCTCTTCCTACCGCCAAAAAAAAAATTTACATTATTAAAAAAAATTATAATTTAACATACATAATTATATTGTATGGTTAAGAGGAAATATTGCAAATGTATTTGAATGATTTCCGAAAGGAATTTTCCATGCTTTACCTAATAAATCTGTAATTGGCCATGAAAATATGCTATCATTATTTACTGTCATTACTTTTATATTAAAATTACTGGATTTGTATGGTAATTTATATACATCTTTTATGTACTTAAGTTTCTTACCAATAAGAAAAAAATCTTCATTTTTTTGCACTACATTCAAAATTAAAACATATTGACCGTTTTTCAAAAAACAACAATTATTATTACGACCTTTACAATTAATATTAAACTTTCCATTTGACATAATTAAATATTACGATTGAATATTATAATTATTTAGTACAAGACCATTGTTATGTAAATATTTATATGAATTTAATGTTTTATGATTAATATTTGACAGAAAAGAATTACAATTTTCAATTTTATTATATCTTTTATATAGTTGTTGCAGCGGTTTTTCATGTTTACGTAATTTTTTTTATCAACATCATGTAGTTTTCAAAGCGGAAAGCACTAAAGTTATCTAACGGACCATATGTTTTTACGTCGAAACATAAATGTAATAAGTTATGTATGTTATGCGACATGTACTACCATATAAAATTTCAAATGACATGACAAAATGATTAAGTACACTGACAAGAGAGCCGAAAAACAGTAATAGTTTCTGAATTTTTGTTTATTCTTAACTTTTAATCTCAATACGCAGATGCTTACTTAAAAAAAGTAATGTCTGCTGAAAAACACAGTAATATCTAAAAATTAAGATCGTAAGCGATACTGTCTGAAAGAAATAATAGAAAAGAAATAATTACTGAGAAGTTCCATTATTCAACCATGTGCAATTCTGTAACCATTACTGTTGGCTCTCCATATTCGCTCTATATCGCGCGAGTTCAGAGAGATATATGAGATTTCATAATAGTTATTGTAGAATAGATTTGTTAGCTCAGCGTTAGCGTATTAGGCTGTTATTCTGGAATCTTAGGTTCGAATCCCGTCTCCCGTCAATGTGTTTTCAAAAATTGTAAAACAGTGCGTAATTTTAATTAATAAAATAGAATATATGCGGAACACCGGAACATCATTGCGAATACAAATTAAACTATAAAAATATTAGAAAAAAATAAAAACTATTTAAAAATAAAAAAGAAAAAAATTCTTTTTGTTTTTTCGTTAAAATATTGCACCGGAATCATTACTGGTCTTTATCGTAATGATTACTGTAAAATCCGTACTGGTTACTGGGAGAATGTTTACTGCAGTAGTTCGTAATGGTTACTGTAAGGAAGATTAAAAGTTGAGAGTGAGCAAAAATACAGGAATTATTACTGTTTTTCGGCTCTCAGTGTAACGATTCAGCAAAATTGA